AAAAGGACATTGTAGTGGCCTGGACATTCAAATACATCTTCCCATAGTTTCTAGTTTTTATATATCTCAAGGTGAAGAATATATATATTTAAAAAAAAAAAAAAAAAAAAAAAACGAATTGGGTAAATTGGTAGCCGAGATCCCTGATCATAAGGCCTCGGGTTTAGACGGCCTTCGTTCTGAAATTTATAAAAGCTTCGAGGACATCTTATTACCGGAACTACTGGAGGTATTAAAGTCAGCTTCTGACCTACGCTGTCTACCAGTCTATGAACGAGGCGTAAATCATTGTGCTTCTGAAACCTGGAAAAGATTGTTTGCACTCTGAATCCTACCACCCCATTTCCTTACGGAACTCGGACATTAAGATTCTTGCAAAAGTGCTGGCCAAACGCTTGAGTAAGGTTATGCAACACTTGGTCCACCCCGACCAATCGGGATTTATACCCACCAGATCAACGGCTGTTAACATCCATAGATTATTTTGAAACCAATGATTACCCTCTGATAATATGGGACATAGGGCCATCTTATCACTGGATGCAGCCAAAGAGTTAGATAGTGATGAGTGGCCCTATCTGTGGGAGGTATTAAGGCTTTTTGGCTTGGGAGACCACTTTAATAGATGGATGCAGCTATGATATTCTGCCCTGAGAGCCACCATGCTGATTAATGGATCACATTCCGATTCCTTTCCCCTGTACAGGGGACCTCGCCAGGGATGCCCCCTTTCCCCCTTTCTATTCGCCCTGGCGATAGAGCCACTAGTGGCTGCCATCTGGCATTCGAACATCATAGTCTGTTTCAAAAGAGGGAATTTAGAAGATAAAATTGTCTCTCTATGCTAATGATGCCTTACTCTTTTTGGGAGATACTGACAGGTCCCTTTCTTCTCTTATGTCTAATATTTCTACATTTGGATCCTTTTCAGGATTCGCAATTATCTGGGAAAAGTCAGTACTTCTCCCCCTAGATGGCCAGCAGGTGGAGCTCCCCCCAGGTGCCTAACAGATAACAATTGTCCCGGCATTTAAATTGTAGGAGTCTGGGTTCGCCCAAGGGTACAAGATTATCTGCAACATAATCTGCAAAACTAAGAGCAAGGTGTGGTGTAAACTCCCATTGTCTGTTGTTGGTCGCACAAACCCTATTAAAATTATCTGGGTTCCTCAGCTGTTGTATATTTTACACAATTCATCGGTATGGGTGACACAAAAGTGGCTTAAACAAATTGACTCTCTATCAAAATTTGATTTGGAAGGGGAAACAACCTAGAATTCACTTGCCCATCTTACAGCTACCTATGGATGGTGGAGGACTGGCAGTCCCATCTGCCAAATTGTATTTCATGCAACCAAGCTGCAGCATTTCTCTGGGTGGGGAACTAGTAATGAGACGGATCCCATTCAAGGTACTCTGCTACCTAGATTGAATCAATATCACCCGATTGCAATATAGGAAGCAGGTGAATTTTGGAGCTGCTCACAATACTCTACACTAATACTTATGGCTAAGGTGTGGGATGAGATGAAACGACTTATGAGATACGATGCAATCTCCAGATACCACCTGATTTGGAAGGGGGGAAGACTAGATGAGCTAGGCAAACTGCAGGGTTTTGCAGGATGGCCCTCTAGAGGGATCCTCTTTCTATACCAGCTGTACAATAATAACTAGCTGAAGTCCTTTAAAAATTTACAAGAGGAATTTAACATCCCCTCTTGCAGATTTTTTCAGTATCTCCAGATACATTACGCCCTTGCTGTTCAAGCCAAGTCGACAGTCCTTACACTGATCCCGACCCCACTTATTGATTAATTGGAAATTACTACTAATATGAAGGGTCTTATGTCTTTATATAAATCTCTTTGTAACTCTCAATGTAAGCTGCAGTTACTGGGAAGATGTGGATGGTCAACTGATATTTCCACTTTAGACAACGAATTTTGGCACTCAATTTTGGAACAGGTTCCCTTGGTATTCATCTCTCCTAAACAGAGATTGTCACAACTATTTCTCAATCATAGGGCTTACAGAACACCCCACAAGTTGCTTAGGTGGCACCGCAGAGAGACCTCGAATTGCCCTTGATGTGGAGGAGTACCTGCTGACCATCTGTATATGTTTTGGAAATACCCCAAACTAGTGTGTTACTGGAGTACTGTCCTTAACACTATTAATCAACATTTCAAGTGGCTTTGAATAATTATCCTATGACATGTATACTGGGGTTCCTCGATGAAGAACTATATACGCCCCAGGTCAGAATCACTATTACTAGATTTTTGTTCTTGGCACGCAAATGTATATTACTAAAATGGCTTGAACCCACACCCTCTACATTTGAAGAATTGCAGACGTATGTTAATTCTAACTTGATGAAAGAGAAATATATCCTGAAGCAGCGAGGTACTCCCTTCAAATTTCATAAGATCTGGGATTCATGGCTTCAAACTCCTGGCTTACTCCCCTTAGCCCTTATGTCACTGCGCATTCTACAATGCTAGTTGCTTCATGATTATGGTCCCTGTTACTAGAGTAACAGAATTATATGGCGATGCCATTTGGTAGGAGGGCAAGAATGAGGCGAGTAGTTTTTTTCACTTTTAGGCTTTGTACTGTGTTGGTCTCTAACCTATATTTCTGTGGGTTGTATGAATGTTCTATGTAACTATACCTCACTTTAGATATGAGAAATCGAAGTAAGAAAGGTATAAACTGCTGTATTCTGTTTCATTGCTATCTATCAGCCTCAATGCCTTGGAGTGCTCTATCGGTATAATTTCTTGCTCGGAATTTAATAATGTATGTGTAAGAATATAATTGTCTTTTGTGGAGAGTCAATTGTCAGATTGTATGATTATTTTTTGGAAAAGTTGGTTTGGTTTTGTGGATTGCAAAAAGTGTAATATTGGAAAAAAAAAAGAGAACATATAAAAAAATGTAGGTGACAAATGAGAAGTGACAGCAGAAAACACAAAGCACTTAAAACATTGTACTTCCAAGAGTTGGCTGCACACAATCTGACTAAATTGCGTCCGATCCTCTTCAGAATTAGTCCCAAATTAACAAACAAAATTATAGTTATAATGAACTGGTGTGTTTTGTTAAAAAAAAAAAAAAAAATGGAAATAACTTCTTTTTCAAGCAAATTTAAAAAAATGCATGTAAGACATGTATTAACACACAAAAAGTGTTAAGGGGTCCATTATACTTGGTACAATGACTGTGTAAAATACAGATGTTTCCTGTCCACAATTATGTGGTCTTTAAAATTTTCCACATTTATAAAGCACTGTGGTGTGCTTTACATATGTGTATTGAACGCCACTAACTTTGGGATGTCAAGGCAGTGGATTGCAATAAAAATAAATGCGAAAAAAAAGTTGAGAGATGGGCCCAGTCACCTGACCTATAAAAGCTTTTCTCCAATTTTTGGCAGCTGTTTTAGGCAGAGGTAACTCAATAGGATACCATAGGCTTCATTTTATGAATTGGCAGCAAAACATAGGCCACACTATGGAGTAACCATGTGGATTGTAAAGGAGAGCAATGAGACCAAGAGCACATGGGAGCTGCCACGTTCCTTTCTGTGGTATACACTATAAAACCTCCAAACACTGCAATGCACAGCTAAAGACTTTATATTATGCCTAATCACCTCAATACTAACATGGTCAGTGCACAATATGAAGGGCATTTACTAGCTGCAATAAAGTATGGTGACCATATTCATTAAAGTGTTACTAAACCCACAACAGTAAAATCAGTCTGTATATGCAGCATGCTTGTAGTACTCACTGTGGAACCTGAGGGGTTAATCCTCTTCATTGTGTAAAAATGCTGTTAGATACTAACTTGTCTGATCCTCCCCTTCTTCCAGTGCCGCCTCCTCCCCCCCCCCTTATCTCCTGAGAAGACATATTGTGGAGACACTCTGCACATGCTCAGTTTGGTGTGTATTGCTATAGAGGTTTTTTTTTTTTTTTACTGGGAGAGTGCATGTGATTGGCACAGGGGCAACCAGCACTGTCTAGATAAAAGGTCAGTGGTTCTGCATCCTCCTAGAGCAGAAAGAAAACTCCTCCGACAAGCTTTAACCAGTGTTCTGTTGGACACGGATAGAAGTCACTCTAACTGCTGATGAGAAAAGATATTTAGCAATTTATATTTACTAAAATAATTGCATTTCCATGTTCTCTGTACTGTGGGAGACCAGATAGAATGAATGCAGGGGCCTGGGTTTAGTAACACTTTAATAAGGCTAAGCACTAATGGGAACAAACCTAAATCAGTATTCAACCCAAAAGCAAACATTTCTTATATTGCAGCTTACCAGTTTTTAGATGGCTTTTTTGTGATCGCTGCATTAGTTTTCTATTTTTAGGCTTTTTTTTCTTCTATTTTCATGGTGATCTGACCAGTAAGTTATTTTTTTAAAAATAACAAGCTTTCTTCCAGATGTATCAGTTTACAGGGGTAAATTACCACTAAAAGGGTTGTCCACAATGACCAGCTTTTATTTCTTCAGGTAAAACCTTTACCCCAAAAAAAGGAGAAAAACTGTGCAGTAACCGACTAGGAATTGTGGGTTGGTGTTTGGCTTTAATCTGTTAGTGTATTTAAATCTCATAGTACATGTAATACTACCCTCACCCAACACTGACAATGCTGCTATCTGTTGTGCCCCCCTGTGCTCATCCAGAGTAGGGGCACTTTAATACAGGAGTTGTATTACTGGCCAGATCCCTAGGTGAAAACAGAGAGGAAAAGCATCAAAAAGAAAGAAAACAAATGCAGCAACTACATCTAATGATTAGTAAGCTACAATAGACTAAATTTTTGGTTTGGGGTTTAATACAGCTTTAATTCATATAAAGTATGACTTAAAAAAGCATGCCAAGTTTAGACTATACATGTGAAACTATGCTTTATACATAATGAAATAAAAAAGTATTTAATTTCTAGGTTTTTCATTTACCCCTTACACCTTTACTTACCTCAGCATTGGAGTTTTGTATCTGCAGCTGCTTACATTCATCTTTCAGCTTCTCTGACTCTTTCTCACGTTCCAGAGTGGTTTTGTCCATCAGTGTCTGTACCTGGATAAGCTCTTTTTTCAGCACGGCAACATCTTCAATTCCTGGCCTTTGGAGCTGTAAGGCAAGAAGACTATAACTATACATAAGGCTAGAAGATTTCTCAGGAAACCAAGTTCTACCTATCTTTCAAGGTTATGTATTATCACTTTCAGAAACATTGCTCCATTACACAACTATGAATAACCAGCCTGTGTCCTGTATTGTACAACTAAGCTATTTATATTACTGTATTCTTGACTCCGCAGGCTAAAGGCATACAGGAAATTCACCGTCTGATTTTGAATGTATACATGCATTTAAAGTGTAAATAAATCCCTGCAATGAATACCTCTTAGTTATTCATTTTTATGGTCTGTTAAGCACTTGCCAACCGAGCTATAGACGAATGACGGCTACAGCACGGTTGTCCAGTTCTGGGAGGGCATCATAGGACGTCCTCCCAGAACGCACCCTCCCGCGGGCGCGCATCCAGCAATCTCCATGATTGCTGTGTCCTACGGACACAGCTGATCATGTGATGTGGTAAAAAGGCCAATCACAGCGGCCTTTTACCACGTGATCAGCTGTGTCCAATGACACAGCAGATCACCGGTAAATGCAGTTGCCGGTTATCAGCTGCACTTTCCTCATGCTGTCACAGTGTGAGGAAAGTACTGCCAATAACCGGCAATTGTCAGAGGACGGATCGTCATCAATCATCAGTGCCCATCAGTGCCACCCAGCAGTGCCGCCAGTCAGTGCCCATCACTGATGTATATCAGTGCAGCATCACCACCAGTGACGCCTCATCAGTGCCAACTCATCAGTGCCGCCTCATCAGTGGCGCCTCATCAGTGGCGCCTCATCAACACACATCAGTGAAGGAGAAAAATATCCTGTTTACCAAATTTTTTTAATAGAAACAAAGAAAAACATTTTTTTTTTTTTTTCAAATTTTTTTGCTTCTTATAAAGCCCTTTATAAAAGAATAGCCCCTTTCAGCACGAGGAGGAATTCTGCGAGGGCAACATAACCTGAGTAAGCCCCAGAGACACACAGAAAGTCATAACAGCAATGAAGAAGAGCAACTTCTTACCAAATGGTGTGCGCAAGAGTGCCAAGCCAAAGTGTTATGAAGAGCATATACAAAGCCTAACCAAGGACATTGCAAGACCAATTCTTTCAAGGATGCATGATCAGAAGACTGTTTAGCTATTATAGCAGGTGACCCAGTGAACCTTTACCTCTATAAGGAAAAGGACAACATATCAAAGCCCAGATTCTAGTTGAGTGTTGTAGGCTGAGGGGTCTGTGTAGAAAAGGGGTCCAAATAATGGAGCCAGACTCCACACATAGTGAGTAAAGTGCTAGTGACCTGCAGAGGAGAAACCAGGTGCTGGCTTTCATGAAGGAGTTTTCCTGCAGAACTGAGGGATATTTTTTAGGAGCAGCAAACGAAATGCACCAGTTTTGCTGCGGGGAAGGGATTACTGCAATGATATGAAGATTAGACCGAGAAATTTGGAGCAGAACAAGGTCGGGGGAGAAGGCTGCAGTGTCAGCTGCAGGAAAAGTGAAAGTATCAGTGTTTGGGCCTATAGTCAAATAATTGGCACAGGAGCCAATTCTTTGTTTTCTTTTTTTTTTTTTTTTTTTTAAAAAGGTCTCCAAGGCACCCTGGTACATGAAGGCTCAGTTTCTGATTAAGGGTCTAATGATATAAAAAACAAGATGTGGCGAGGTCAGCAATACAAAAATTAAATTGAAATATGGAGGGTTAGGGGGAGTAAAACTTCATCACACTGCAGTTGTAATGAAGTTAGAAGATCCCATCTCCCACCATTCACCACATGGTGAAGTCACCTTATCGGTTAACCTATGATGTTGGCTTTAAGTTTACTCCAGCCTACTACCTTTGATAGAACCTACTGTACAGGTTTATTAGAAGATCCTTTGATGTTGCTGCAAATAATATGTATGCTAACACAACTTGTATGACTTCATCTTTTGTACCACTGTACTTTTATAAAACCCCTAAAAAAATAAAGAATTTATCTCATATAAGAGATTTAGTGGTATGTCTATAGAAGACCAAGCAGAAGTCAATTCTCTACAGCAGAATTCATGACAAGCCTACAGAAGGCTGGTTACTGCACCAAACAGTTCTTGGAAGCATTATGAGGCCTGCATTATTGAATAGATAGGGGTTACTGTGCAGTATTTTGAAAATGGTTGAAAACCTCAAGAGGGAAGGAAAGAACTACCCCTTTTAAAATGTTAACTGCAAGAAGATGTAAGTAAAAACAGTTTGCTTTGTGAAGCACAAAATAAGAATATGTAACATAGAAAAAAAAAGCAGAGAGAGGACAGCAAGAGAGCTCATTAGGCCTTTGATGGTGAAAATAAACGAATTCATTCTTTAAAAAAAAAAAAAAAAAACCACACAGAGAGGACAGCAATAGAGCTTTTTTGTGTACTTCTCAGAGTGAATTGAGATGTCAGGATGTCTTTGCATCATGTGAAGCAAATACTAATATATGTCCCTCTCTCACCCCTCCCCATCCCCCCTCAAGGAAACAGCACACGGCTTGCTGACAGAGCTGCAAAGGGGCCACTCTGAGCACACAGAAAGGTAAGTAGAACATCTTTTTTTACTTTAAACAAAAAATCACCTTTAGAACCATGTTCTTGCAAGAATTGTAATCTTGCAGTCTGATTAGGATGATCTATAAAATCAGAAAAATTCACCACTGATTTCTACAGTCCAGCTTGCGATTTTCTGGGCAAACGATAAGGCGGCAACAGCCGGATGCTGGACTGGTCCTGCCAAGGCAAAGGAGGAATTCAAAAGAGTCTCCAGAAGCCCATCAACTGAATCCTTATTATAGAATGGAATACTATCAATGGAAACAGATGAATGATTATTTAGGAGGAGATTGACTGTTCCCACTGTGGACCCACTGTGGATCCAGCCATTCTCACACTAAACTCCCCTTACATACAGTCAGGTCCATAAATATTGGGACATCGACACAATTCTAACATTTTTGGCTCTATACACCACCACAATGGATTTGAAATGAAACGAACAAGATGTGCTTTAACTGCAGACTGTTAGCTTTAATTTGAGGGTATTTACATCCAAATCAGGTGAATTTGGATATTTGCCTCCCACTTCTTAAGGGACCAAAAGTAATGGGACAGAATAATAATCATAAATCAAACTTTCACTTTTTAATACTTGGTTGCAAATCCTTTGCAGTCAATTACAGCCTGAAGTCTGGAACGCATAGTCATCACCAGACGCTGTGTTTCATCCCTGGTGATGCTCTACCAGGCCTCTACTGCAACTATCTTCAGTTCCTGCTTGTTCTTGGGGCATTTTCCCTTCAGTTTTGTCTTCAGCAAGTGAAATACATGCTCAATCGGACTCAGGTCAGGTGATTGACTTGGCCATTGCATAACATTCCACTTCTTTCCCTTAAAAAACTCTTTGGTTGCTTTTGCAGTATGCTTTGGGTCATTGTCCATCTGCACTGTGAAGCGGCGTCCAATGAGTTGTGAAGCATTTGGCTGAATATGAGCAGATAATATTGCCCAAAACACTTCAGAATTCATCCTGCTGCTTTTGTCAGCAGTCACATCACCAATAAATACAAGAGAACCAGTTCCATTGGCAGCCATACATGCCCACACCATGACACTACCACCACCATGCTTCACTGATGAGGTGGTATGCTTAGGATCATGAGCAGTTCCTTTCCTTCTCCATACTCTTCTCTTCCCATCACTCTGGTACAAGTTGATCTTGGTCTCATCTGTCCATAGGATGTTGTTCCAGAACTGTGAAGGCTTTTTTAGATGTCATTTGGCAAACTCTAATCTGGCCTTCCTGTTTTTGAGGCTCACCAATGGTTTACATCTTGTGGTGAACCCTCTGTATTCACTCTGGTGAAGTCTTCTCTTGATTGTTGACTTTGACACACATACACCTACCTCCTAGAGAGTGTTCTTGATCTGGCCAACTGTTGTGAAGGGTGTTTTCTTCACCAGGGAAAGAATTCTTCGGTCATCCACCACAGTTGTTTTCCGTGGTCTTCCGGGTCTTTTGGTGTTGCTGAGCTCACCGGTGCGTTCCTTCTTTTTAAGAATGTTCCAAACAGTTGTTTTGGCCACGCCTAATGTTTTTGCTATTTCTCTGATGGGTTTGTTTTGTTTTTTCAGCCTAATGATGGCTTGCTTCACTGATAGTGACAGCTCTTTGGATCTCATCTTGAGAGTTGACAGCAACAGATTCCAAATGCAAATAGCACACTTGAAATGAACTCTGGACCTTTTATCTGCTCATTGTAATTGGGATGAGGGAATAACACACACCTAGCCATGGAACAGCTGAGAAGCCAATTGTCCCATTACATTTGGTCCCTTAACAAGTGGGAGGCACATATGCAAACTGTTGTAATTCCTACACCGTTCACCTGATTTGGATCTAAATACTCTCAAATTAAAGCTGACAGTCTGCAGTTAAAGCACATCTTGTTCGTTTCATTTCAAATCCATTGTGGTGGTGTATAGAGCCAAAAATGTTAGCATTGTGTCAATGTCCCAATATTTATGGACCTGACTGTAGGGTACAAGGCATTAAAATTATTAAGAAGAGGGAACGCCCTCTCTGAGATGGGTGAATCATTATATAAGACCCAGTCAGCTTGATCCAGAATAGTGAAACGCTTTCTACAAATAGCCTTCTCTTTCTTGCTCAGAAGAATACTGCAAGTGAGGAATGAGTAGTACTGGAAAATCCCCGCCACCTCCGTTAAAAAGTTAGCACCCTCTTACCTTCAGCAAATGGAAGTGCGCTAGGCAATCCAGGTTCCAGAAATGACTACAGTCTCTGGGGTAGATCAGATATAGTACCAGAAAATTCTGCTTTAGTCAAACAGAATGTACTCTATATTGCATGCCTATGAGGCAGCCTGGATCGGTGTAAGACCTTGCTCCAGAATAAGAAAGCTGCTATCAGAGGTACTTGGAGTTCATCAAGGCTTGCAACGGAATTCTCTTTTTGTCCCATGTGCTCCTGCTCCTAAACTCCCTGTAATCTGTCATTGCTAAGAGATGGGGTGCTCAAAAAATGGATGTAGACTGAGGGGGTTCAACATGTCTATGAAGGAACTGCAAAAACCCAGGCGCTAACAGAGTTTCCATGGCTGTGTCTCCAGACCAACAAGTGAGACAGCAAACGATCAGCTTGTGTCCTTGACAGAAATGGCAGCTAGAAGTGCAGAAGCACTACGTCACTAGCTGGACAGGAACCTTTGGTAGTGAGGTGGAATAAAAGACTGACAAATTTTAAATAGGTCAATGTTATAATAAGGATACATATTAGGCCAAGTAAATGAGACAATAATAACCAGGGTAAATACACACAAGTGCAGATTAGCCCATAACCTGTACCCTCCAAACCACTTGTGTGCTTGACACTGCCATGTGTCTCCTATGATAAAAGGAAATACTGTAGTATCTACTGCCTATCCAGGAAACAACCCAACAAAATTTGTGTAGTCAGGAACCAGTATATAAAATGGTATAGTGAAACCCTGGCTTACTAGATCATGGTGGGCATACCCCCAGAGGGATTTTCAGGGTCTGAGCACCATAGGAATGCACCACAGCCATAGACCTGTACAGCATCAAGGTTCCAGCACCCACAGCAAACATTACAGGCCAATTAAGCAGTCAGTCCAACAAGAAAAGCAGTCCCATCATCTGGGGGGAGGGGGGCACTTCCCCGTAAAGATTTTCCAATGTCCAATCACCTGAGGATTACGGCATAAACAGTGAGGAACAGAAGTATTTGAACACCCTGCGATTTTGCAAGTTCTCCCACTTAGAAATCATGGAGGGGTCTGAAATTCACATTGTAGGTGCATTTCCACTCTGAGACACAGAATTTAAAAAAAATTCAGGAAATCACATTGTATGATTTTTAAAGAATTTATTTATTTATTTGTCTTGCACTGCTGAACATAAGTATTTGAACAGCTGAGAAAATCAGTGTTAATATTTGGTACAGAAGCCTTTGTTTGCAATTACAGAGGTCAAACGTTTCCTGTAGTTTTTGACCAGGTTTGCACACACTGCAACAGGGATTTTGGACCACTCCTCCACACAGATCTCCTCTAGATCTGTCAGGTTTCGGGGCTGTCGAAGAGCAACACGGAGTTTCAGGTCCCTCCAAAGATGTTCTATTGGATTTAGGTCTGGAGACTAGCTAGGCCACTCCAGAACCTTGATATGCTTTTTACGGAAACCACTTCTTGGTCATCCTGGCTGTGTGCTTTACGTCCTTGTCATGTTGGAAGACCCAGCCACGACCCATCTTCAATGCTCTGACTGAGGGAAGGAAGTTGTTGCTCAAAATCTCACAATAAATGGCCCCATTCATCCTCTCCTTAATACAGTGCAGTCGTCCTGTCCCCTTCGCAGAAGAGCACCCCCAAAGCATGATGTTACCACCCCCATGCTTCACAGTAGGGATGGTGTTCTTGGGATGCAACTCATCCTTCCTTTCCTCCAAACACGAGTGAAGTTTAGACCAAAAAGTTCTACTTTGGTCTCATCTGATCACATGACTTTCTCCCATGCCTCCTCTGGACCATCCAGATGGTCATTGGCAAACTTCAGACGGGCCTGGACATGTGATGACTTGAGCAAGGGAACCTTACGTGCAATGCATGATTTGAAACCATGACGGCGTAGTGTTCTACCGACAGTGACCTTTGAAACTGTGGTCCCAGCTCTCTTCATGTCATTGACCAGCTCCTCCCTTGTAGTTCTGGGCTGATTCCTCACCTTTCTTATCAGTGATACCCCACGAGGTGAGATCTTGAGTGGAGCCCCAGTCCGAGGGAGACTGACAGTTGTCTTTAGCCTCTTCCATTTTCTAACAATTGCTCCAACAGTTGATCTATGTTCACCAAGCTGCTTGGCATTTGCCCCGTAGCCCTTTCCAGCCTTATGGAGGTCCACAATTTTGTCTCTGGTGTCTTTTGACAGCTCTTTGGTCTTGCCCATGGTAGTAGTTGGCATCTGACTGACTGTGGGGTGGACAGGTGTCCTTAAAGAGCTCAGACAGGTGCTACTAAGTCAGATTAATGAGTGGAGTAGAGGTGGACTTTTTAAAAGGCACAGTAACAGGTCTTTGAGAGCCAGAATTCTTGCTGTTTCTTAGCTGTTCAAATCCTTATGTTCAGCAGTGCAAGACAAATAAAATCTTTAAAATTCATACAATGTGATTTCCTGAATATTTTTTTTTTTTTATTTCTCTCAGAGTGGGAATGCACCTACAATGTGAATTTCAGACCCCTCCGTGATTTCTAAGTGGGAGAACTTGCAAAATCGCAGGGTGTTCAAATACTTTTGTTCCTCACTGTATGTGATGGTTCTAAGAATCAACTCGTGTCCTGTACTGTAAAATTAAGAAAATATTTAACCCACAGCACCATACAGATAATAGATATTATGCTAACCTCTTCTACCTCCCTTCTTTTCCAGCACTGCAGCCTCCATTAGTCTCTTCAGCATTTGACACTTCCAGAAGTGCTGAATGTCTGAATGGGCGGCACAGTGCCTTAGTGGTTATCACGTCTGCCTTGCAGTAAATGGGTCATGGGTTTGATTCACGACCATGGCGCCTCCTGCATGGAGTTTGCATGTTCTCCCTGTGCTTGCGTGGGTTTCCTCCGGGTACTCCGGTTTCCTCCCACACTCCAAAGACATGCTGGTAAGTTAATTGGACCCTGTATAAATTGTCCCTAGTATGTGTATGTATGAATGTGAGTTAGGGACTTTAGATTGTACACCCCTTGAGGGTTAGGGACTGATGTGAATGTACAATATAAATATGTAAAGCGCCGCGTAAATGGACGGCGCTATGTAAGTACCCGAAATAAATAAATAAAATAAATAAATAAATGTCTGTGGCCCCTGCAGGGCACCTACTGTATGTCACTAGAGGACCCAGCTGTGACATAGGGATCCTAGGATGGAACCACAGTACACATGTGGGGACACAGGTATTCACATACTTTTGGAAGTGTTGCATGCCAGAGAAAGATGGAGGCTGCAGCACTCGAAGAGAAGAAAAATAGTAGACATGTGCCACCAGACATAGGAGTATAATGGCTCTTCTCTTGTGTGGTACTATGTGTTTGATTTTTTTTTAGCGACTGACAGTCTTTTTAAACGGTCTTGTTTAATCATTTAAAAAAAAATTGTGCTGCGCAATTTTTATTTTTACATTTGAAATATATTTGTTTATTGTTTTATATATTATTTTTTTTTTTTTTTATATTTGACATCAGTCTATCTTTTAAACTTCTTCAATCCTTCTCATAAAGGCACTCCCTCCTTGATACACATTAAACCTTAAAATGTTAGTTATGTAGACAATTTATGTGATATCCCATTTCTAACAAAAAAAAAAGCTCTAACAATATTTACCAGGTCAGTTTTCAAATTTTCAATCTCCTGGGATTTAGACTTCAACTCCCGTGTAAGACTTTTTACACTGTCTTCTGTTGCAGCATGCTTTCCTTTCTCTTCATCATATGTCGCTTTTAGCTCTGGATAAAAATAAAACATTTATCATAATTTATCATGAGACAGACTTTTGTATTCAGCTGTTCCCGGTCACTATCTAGGAAAAGAAAGCCAAGACAACCAAGCCCTGTACATAATATGCCTGGGTAGAATCACCTTATGGTTACTGTGACAAGAGATTCAATTCTTTTGAACATGAGCTTCTCATGTTTGTGTAGTCCCTTTAGTTTAAAACATGACCTCAATAAGGGTAAGGATATAGGTAAAATGAATGGAACTCAGTGGAGGTAGTTCACATCACTTATAAAAAATATACAAGAGACAGTTTGGAAGTAATAACACATTTTGTTAGGCCCACAGCAATAAATGGTGCAACTGCATAAGTAAAACCACAAGAAAAGCATGATTCAACACATGATATATACAAATCTGCAATAAATTTTGGGCAAATTCTTACAGACACAAATTTTTCATTTTATTTGGAAATGTCTGATGATGCATCAATTCTAATCAGGGGTTTACTTCTAACACTTTCAATTCAAAATCAAAAAGTGTGTTTTCTGAAAGTAGATGCTAGCTTTAGTGAGACCAATCATGCAAAAAAAATATGTTTGCTTGCAGATGCATGTGCCAGCTACTTACACTTGCCAGACATGGTTTTTGGTTGTTGAAATGAAAAAAACTTTGAAAGGTCCTCTCTACTCTCATAAAACATCTTGTTTACTTACAATTAACTTTTTAAAAAATTTGTAACCACATGGTATAAAGCATTTAGAAGTACACCTGAAGACAGCATACAGCTGCAAGCAGATATTAAGCTGGGTATACACATGCAGCTTTTTTTCAATCAACCAGTGAATTGAATAAAAAAAAAAAAAACACCTGACAGGTCGATGGGTGATGCAGAAATCTCCCACAGGGGCGCTATTGTATTCTGACAGGATGACCCCCACCCCCTCTTCCTGCCAGAATACACTGATCAGCGCTGATCGAATTCTGGTTTTCCAACAGGGCTGGTCAACAGAAGTTGGGCTTCTGCTGAACAGACAGAAGTACAAATGTACCAAAAGTTGTCTGGTTCCTTCTGAACTGACTGACTTTCAGTGAGTGTGTACCGGACTTTAGAAGAGAACATCTGCTTTGTTAGTGGGTTACTGATACTTAATAAACTGAACTGCCATTTTTATGCTACTATCACCTTACCGTCCTACCCTTTACCTCCATTATAAAACCAAAGTACTTCATTGCACTTACCAACTGTTTCAGTAGCCAGTTGTGCAGCTTTTTGCTCAAACAGGTCTTTCATTTGTTTAATATTAAAAATCTCAGTCTGGGCTTCTTCCAGCTTTTGCTCTAAGGCTTGCAATTCTGTGACAAAACAACATTGTATTATATATAATTATTTTTTACTTCAAATAACTTCACTGTACTGATAGATTATTTAACCAATATACAGTATAAAATAACAGTTTAAAGCCTAAGTTTTTTTTTTAAATCTGCAAAACAGATGGTATTCATGTTCTATGCGAAGTGTCCCTTTTACTTGTGAATGGTTGAAATCTTCCATCTTTTGCCCCCCTCCACCACCATTCCTGAAATTGTAATCTTCCAGTGTTGCAGGGGTTAATACAGCCATTTAACCTGTCATAGGCACTCATCAAGAACACAGACTATGCCCACCCTTTCCGCCCCCATCCTCTATTCATAGAAGCTGTACTAAAGCCACTTGCCGACCGCCTAACTGGGAATTTATGTCATTACTTTACATTTTAATATCGGGGTTATTGCTGCAGATAGATGCTATAAATCCAATATTAATATTTCCAGGAGCTGCCACTCTTTCTCCTAAAAGTGATCAGAGTAGCTGATTAGCCACTGGATCACTTTTAGAAGTGGTGGGAAGGATCACTCCCCCTGCTTTCTGGTGGTTCTTGGGCTTACTTGGGAATCATGGGAACCGATCCTGCAGTGGCGGCGCGCTGGCTATAGAGATTAGCAGAGGAATCTCTATGGCCAGAGCATCTCTATGGCCTAGGAGGTGAAGAGTAATGTCATTCTGGTTTACAGCCAATGTAAACCAGGCCTTTTTTTTTCTATCAAAAAAATACTGATTTTTACTTGTAAACAAAAAAAAAAAAAAGTCAGAATAGGCCTAGTCTTTAAATGGATAACTTCAGAAATGAAAAGAGCTCTATGAATGGAGGATGAGTGGTTGAATGAAAGTTCCCCCTCCTACATTATATACTATAAATTTCACTTTTGCATGGAGTTGGGCTTTAATATTGCCTAACATAGATGTGACCATCACAAAAACTGTGCTGAAAGTTCCCTGCTAATCTTAACTTCTGACTAAGATAAGAATTAAAGTCCCTAAAGCTCCTGCCATCTTCCCTTTACAACGACAGTACTACCAAGCTGTGTCTTGGTTTGCACTATCACGCAGAGCATGTATCACAGTGTAGATCAGGACACAGCTTAGCAGGGGAGAACCTATGTCCATAGGATCTCAAATTTTGAAGTCACAGTGATTAACATTTTCCTCCCATCTTAACCTTCTTTCCTTTCCCACCTCACTGCAATCAGTCAAGGGTGGTAGCACCTATCATAGCATTTCATTTTACGTTTAGTAAAATCTAGATAAAGAATGTACACAGTCCTTTAACCGCTTCCCAACCACCCTATAGCAGAACTTTGTGGAAACTGGACTATGGTAATCTCTCAGAACCTCAGTTTAAATCCTGTACTGGAGGAGGCCCTAGATAATCAGGGCCACCAGCACCTTGAAAAAGACAGAAGAAAGGGAGAGAAAGGGAGTCAACACTTATACATGCTGTGAAATTGCCCAACCTGGAAGAATATCCAGAATTTGGAACAACATTTTACTTCTCTGTTGACTCCTTTACAAGAACACGTTCTTTAATAATTAGGATTGCAATTACCTGTGGCTGCTACCATGGTTGCCCCATCTGATGCAGAGTACTATAAAATAAACGAAAAAAACACAAAAGACAATTATAGTACAAAAGGAGGCACTGAGCAGTATATAAAATGGATAACACCTGTGTATGAAGGTACATCCAGTGTGATTATTTGGAGCTAAAACAAAAATATAATGGAAAAAAGCAAAGGTAACATTAAAGTGGAAGTTCAGTCAAAACCTAACTAAGGCTAAACAGACTCCCACCCCCATTCTTAGGCTATTCTATCTAACCCTGTAAAGAAAAGATCTCTATTTTGAAGCAGCTCTGATTGTCCCAGGACCAGCTGTCAGTGATGGCTTCTGTGTAGAGGAGAGGCAGCTAAAAAATGGATGCCCCATAGCAAATCTATGGCTGATTTCACCTCACAGGCATTTCCAGCCATTGTCGGCAATCTCTTCTGTACACAGAAGCCTCTACTGGAGACTGGACTGGAGCAGCTACAGAATAGGCAAATACGCAGGTCTTTTTTTTTTGCAGGGTTAGTTAAAATAAACTTAGAATTAGGATGACAGTATGTTTAGCCTTAGTTAGGTTTTGCTTGAACTTCCATTTTAACTCCGATCAAAAGAAAGAAGTTGTAAAAGGTATACATAAAAGATTTAAAAATACAAAAGCCATATATATGGAAAACGGCAGTTAGCCATGGTGAGCCAACAAATAAATGGTTGAAGAAATACCTCTGGAACCCTGGTTAGCTGGATTCCACTTCTAATACTTACCCTATCTAACTTCAGTAGAGAACAAATTGAAAGATTTTAATTTATTGTGTCACTGCTTATTGCAAGGAGAGAGTTGGGGGAAATGTTCATCGGGAGAATGTTAAAAAGGTCCTTTATTCGGCTGTCTCCTTTTTTGCCAAATATTACTAAAACTATGCTTATTTAATTAGCAATTCATTTAAAACGCATGACCAATGGAGAAAACGATCAAACTGCATCATAAATATGCCCTTTCATGCCCATGCCAAGCTCCCAAAGACTGAATATGACAAAGCTTTCAAATGGAAACAAGCTTACCATGGCTTAATTTCTAAAATAATCTGCTTTTTGGAAATAATGCTGCTTTGAGGACTATATACACGCTATATAACAAGGGTGTGTTTTGTAACAGCGAAAGCTACACTGTATACCAAAGCAGCATCTTAACCCAAAACTCTCAGGGCATGTCCTGCCAATATCCAGGTAAAAATACAGCTTTGGTCCGATCCTCTAACCATGTTTATCCTTTCTCACCCTAGTATTAGTGGCTTACGATCTGGCCTCTTGGGGGGGGGGGGGGGGGGGGAAAACATGTACGCAGACCACAATATCCTTTAGCTAGAACACCTGGGGCCTCACTTGTTTCTGCACTGCACGTTATTGATCAACTGGGAGTGCACTCTGGATTACGTATCGATTGAGACAAATCCCAAATTCTTCCTCTTGACCAATTTCCACCAAGTGCAGATCAGGTCAAATTACCCCTTGCCCATGTAGACTCACTCAAATACTTAGGTGTCAAAGTCTCTAGCTCCCTGCAGGAATAAATCCCCTTAAATATTGAACCTTTATTTACTTTAATCAAACAAAAAAATCAAAACGTGCTACCCCTAGGTGTTATTGAGAGAATAATTTCAGTAAAATTAGTTTGCTGCCTAAATGTCTATATACACTATATTGCCAAAAGTATTGGGACACCCCTCCAAATCATTGGATTCAGGTGTTCCAATCACCTTCATGGCCACAGGTGTATAAATCAAGCACCTAGGCATGCAGACTGCTTCTACAAACATTTGTGAAAGAATGGATCATTCTCAGGAGCTCAGTGAATTCAAGCGATGTATCATGAGATTGCCACCTGTGCAATAAGTCCATCTGTGAAATTTCCTTGCTACTAAATATTCCACGGTCAACTGTCAGTGGTATTATAACAAAGTGGAAGCAAATGGGAAAAACAGCAAGTCAGCCACGAAGTGGAAGGCCATGTAAAATGACAGAGAAGGTTCAGCGCATGCTGCAGAGCACAGTGCGCAGAAGTCAGCAACTGTTTGCAGAGTCAATAGCTAAAGACCTCCAAACTTTGTGTGGCCTTACATCACCAAGTGCAATGCAAAGCGTCAGATAAAGTGGTGTAAAGCACATCGCTACTGAACTCTAGAGCAGTAGGGATGAGTTCTCTGGAGTGAAGATTCACGCTTCTCTGTCTGGCAATTTGATGGACGTGTCTGGGTTTGGCGTTTGCTATGAGAATGGTACTTTCTGACTGCATTATGCCAAGTGTAAAGTTAGGTGGAGGAGGTTTTTTTTTTTCAGGGGTTGGGTTTGGCCCCTTAGTTCCAGTGAAGGGAACTCTTAAGACGTCAGCATACCAAGACATTTTGGACAATTTCATGCTCCCAACTTTGTGGGAGCAGTTTGGTGATGGCCTCTTCCTGTTCCAACATGGCTGCGCACCAGTGCACAAAGCAAGGTCCATGAAAGACATGAATAAGCGAGTTTGGGGTGGAGGAACTTGACTGGCCTGCACAGAGTCCTGAATCCCCTGTTTATCTGACTCCAGCCCGTGTTTCCTGCTATAAAGCTCCCCATAATTCTCTAGGTCTACTTTGTATATAGGCAGAGAGCACCTTTTTTCAACTCATATGGTCCTGCCCATGGTACAAATCTTTTGGGCTCAGATTATTTAATTTGTTTCATGACCATATGGATTCCCCTTTGTCTCTAGATCCAAGGCCTTTCCTGCTCAGTCTCCTCCCAGAGCCCGACAGACAAGTTTTTGGCCATATTTTTAAAAGAAATACAGTTTATAGCTTGCAAAGTGATTGCATGGAACTGGATGCAGACAACCCCCCCCCCCCCCCCATTTTTGAGACATGGGTGCGGGAGGTAAACACCAACTTCCATAGAAATATTTTATTTAGATACACAGAGGATGCCGCAACAAACTCAACAAGGTATGGCAAAGATGGCTGGCACAACCTATCACTTGCCTTTGGGGCAACCCTCAGTAGAGTTCTCAACTGATTTGTTTGCTTTTCACTAACACTATGGTATCTATAACCTGATTTCTCTTGTACGGAGGTACATGACTAATGTGATAGCATAGTGTTCTACTGTTAAATTTAAAATTTTTCTGTAACCAGAATGTGGCATACTTGGATACGGAAAGCGGACTGTATTTTCTGATGCTTTATTTTAATAGTTGTTTTTGGAACATGAGAAATGCAGCTTTGGCAATAGTAACACCTTTAAAAGTAAAGCTGACCATACACTATGAGAATTTCAGTTGATTCTTAATAAACTAGCTGAGGTTTGATATATGAGTGGCCCTGTCAGCACCCTCCTACCCAATATTCTTTGATTGAAAAGTTTACTTTGAATGGAAAATTTTCAGCGGAACAGAAACACCAAATGTAGCCATTTTTCGGGTACACAATAGGCACAGAAAGTGCCAGATTTACAAGAGGGTAAAAGGGGCAAATGCCCTGGCCCCCCTGACAGAAGGGTTCACCTCTATTCAAAAATTCTATAAAAGAATACAAAAAAAAAATAAACAGAAAAATGAAAAAAATGTATATATATATATATATATATATATATATATATATATATAAAATACTCTCCTTTGTTAACGGTTTATTGGAAAGTATTATTTTGCCAGCCATCATCTATAAAAGACTACATTCACACCAAAGTGTCACATTTTCAAGCGTTTTTTTAAAGTAGAGTTGCACGTTTTTGAAGGTTTTGTCAGGCATTTTTTCACGCATTTTTCAACTAGGAGTTTGGAGTGCTGCTGAAGAATAGGCGGAAAGTTGCTGTTTGAGCTGAAAACAAATGACAAAACACTTGAAAAAAAACTGCTCATTTCGCGCTTTTCAAGCATTTCCATTGAAGTCTATGTGAACAAAACCACTAAAATCTGCCTGAAAAGTAACGCATATACTTTTCTGAGCGACAGGCATTTTTCTACAAGTGACAAAACTCTTAGATGTGAACAAGTGCTACTGAAAACAATAGGTTTTTACTTGAGCGATCTTCAGCTTCGAGTTACAAAATGCTCAAGTGTGAATGGAGCCCTAAAGTTTTTACTTTGGACTGGTATATTGCATCGTTTTAAAAACAAATTTTGGAAAGTCAAGCGAAGCACTATGACTGCGTGCGTGTCACATATGATCTCAGATTGACGTGTTGCATTTTAAAAATGTGTGACTATCATTGAGAATTTAAACCAACTCTTTGTATGAGGAGCCCCCCAAACCTGAAGTGCACTGGGTCCCCCAAGGTCTAAATCTGGCCCTAGGCACAGGAGGTTCACTGAAACAAATTGAACAGATTCCCCCATCCATGCTATACAGCGCGATTGGAAAAATCTATATCAGATTTTTTCATTCAGTCCACAGGCTAAATGAAAAAATTTTAAACAGTGTATGGCCAGCTTAAATTTTTCACAATCCTAGGAAACTTACGCAGAGTATATGATAAGAAAATGTGCAAATAACAATTTACCAGATTAGATCAGTAGCTCCAAAGAAAATATTGGATTTTTTCTACACACTTACCTGTAAAATCCATTACTTGGAGTGCATCACGGGACACAGGGCAGGCTATAATAATGATTATGTGGGTTATGCACCACCTGTGGGTGAATGGACACTGGCAGATCAATCAAACAGGAAGTCCTCCCCAACATAACCCCAACTATACAGAAAGTACTTCAGTTTTGTAGCAAGCAATGCAATTCCAGAAAGAGAAGGGACCTCTGTCCCGTGATGTACTCCAAGAAATGGATTTTACAGGTTTGTATGTAGAAAAAATCCAATTTTATTTATCGTACATCATGGGACACAGAGCAGGCTATAATCATGACTATGTGGGATGTCATAAAGCAATAAAAATCTGAGGGGTGGGTGACACCATAATAACCACCACCATCAATCAACAAAGGGACCTACTCAGCCACTCGCAATATGCTGCGACCAAGGGCAGAATCCTCCG